TCTCTCTCTCTCTCTCACACACACACACACACACACACACACACACACACACACACACACACGAGCGCCGAGAGGCAACCCCCTGTGACCCATATGCCCAGTAAATTCCAGGAGTGGGCGAACGGTTTAGTAGTGTTGAGAGGTCATAGGTATGAGAGCATGCGTCCTCTCCCTGGCCCAGGGACCGAGCAGGGTCAGGAACCCCGCCCCCACTCAGGGTCCGCAGGGGCAGGGAGGACAGGATGTGAGTCCAGGCGCCAGGTCATCAGGGGCTGTTCTCATGCTCTCTGGCTGGCGAGGAGCGGCTGTCCATCTGGCGGGGCCAGCTGTGGGTGCTGGGACACCAGGGCCCCTGCAGGGGGGCGGCGGGGAGCAGGGGGGTGCCTCGGGGGAGCCCGCGGGAGCCGGCAAGAGGAAAAGAGCCAGGCGGGGTGCGGTGGCAGAACCGTTATATACAAGGTCTACAGACCCCGCGCGGCGGGGTCAGGGCGGCGCGGGCCGGGCGCGGTCGGGGTGCGGGCTCAGGCTGCGGGCGTCCGAGTCGTCCGAGGGGCTGGGGTGGCCCCCGAGGCCCCGCTGCTTGTGGAGTCCGCGCAGTTTCCCCAGCAGCTCCTGGACGAAGTCCTGGGCACAGCGGGGAGGGGGCGTGTTGAGGGCGGGGCGCTGGGGGCACCCAGGCCCGCCCCGTCCCGCTCAGCAGCCTCGCTGGCTGGGCCCCCTCCCTCTGCCCCCGGCTTCCTGGTCTGCGGTGGGGGGCTAGGGAAGGGCTGGGGGTATAAGAGGCAGGGGAAGAAAGAGACAGAAGGAGACAGAGACAGGAGAGACACAGGGAGAGAAAGGGAGAGGGAGACAAGGAGGGAGGCAGATGGAGAGAGGAGACAGGAGAGCTAGCTGGCATTGACAGGCACGGGAGAGAGAGATGGCAGAGACAGGGGAGAGAGAGATGTGGGAGAGGGGCAGAGGCAAACCGAGATAGACAGGGCGAGACGGAGAGAGTTGGGGAGGGACAGAGACCCAGATCTGAAGATCAGAGACAGAAACAGAGGGAGACACAGGTGCAGGGAGAGACACGGAGAGGCTTCTCTGGCAGAGATCACCAGGAGGGTCCCCAGAGACAGCTGCTGGAAAGAACCGGAGACACACAGACACAGGGTGACGTCTGTCCCTCAGGCAGCCTAGCCAGAGAAACGCAAATTTTTTTCCCTTTTAAAGCAGGGAAGGAAGTGGGAGGGGGAGGGGAGGGCTGCCCAGCGCCTGGGCCTGGAAGGATGGGAGCCACGCTGGAAGGTGGGAAGATGGGCATCCCGTCTGAGGCAGCCAGGGGGAAGAGAGGCAGGGCCTATGGAGTCAAGCCTGAGGACAGAGCCCCACAGAGGGGCAGGGATGGGGACAGATGGGACGGCGCCTCGGCGTCCCAGTGAGGAGGAGATAATGGAGTCCCAATGGCAGATGGGGACAGAGGAGAGACAAGGGGTGAGGAGGACAAAGGACAACACTGAGGCCAGAGAAGCGCTGGAGGGAGGGGCTCCCCAGGGTTTCCTCTGCCTGCCTGTCCCCTGGGCGTGGCCAACTCGTCCTCCTCCTCACAGGCCACATCCCAACCCTTCCCCCCCCTATCAGTCAGGCGGTGGCGGACAGTGGAGGGAAGACTTACCTCTGTGGGGTTCTTGCAGGACTTCAGCAATCCCTAAACACACACCACCCAAGCAAAACAAAGCAGTAAACAACTAGCACCACTTCCCTCCTCCCCCTCCTCCTTCCCAATAAAGCTCGGTAACGCAAGCCACGTGGAAATCAGACTCCAGAATGGACCTCCCACCTGGCTCCCTGGCAAGCAGCTCAGAGGGAGAGAGATGTGGCTCTCCACTGCTGCTGCGAAGGTTCAGTCTCAGAATCCCAGGGAGCTCTTCCACTCTGTCCTACAGGGTCGCCACGAGCTGGGACTGACTTGACGGAAGTGGGCTGGTGGGCTTTGGGTTTGGGGCTGGACAAAGAGGAAAAGCCAGGCACCATCGCCCAGAGAAGGGCGGGCGAGTCCCAAAGCATTTCCAACTGCTTGAGAGCACGGATACTGGGAGCAGATGGCGTGGGCAGGAATGGCCAGCTCTGTCCTTTCTGAGCTGTGAGACCCTGAGCGAGTGATGAGCCCTCTCTGAGCCCCATTTACCTCTTCTGGAAAATGGAGGTAAATAACAGCCCTGCCTCACTGGGTTCTGTGGGGGTGAAATGCGATGCGGGACTAACAGCCTCTGAACCCGAAGGGGAAGCTCTACTCTGTCCCATACGGTCACTGAGTCGGACCAACCACGTGGCCCAAGGTGCGGTTTGCGGGCTTCGTGGGCCTCATCTGCTACATGGAGACAATGGCTGGTCCTCCAGGGTGCTTGAGGAGGGTGAAAGGAGACCACAGGTGCACAACGACTACAGAGTGCCCAGCAGCACGTTCTCCGCCACGTTAGCTGTGTTTGTAGTTAAAGAACAAAACTCACGGCATCGGTGCTGACTCGCAGTGACCCTGCAGGACAGGGTCCAAGTGCTCTCTGAGGTTCCGCGGCTGTCACTCTTTCAGGGTGTGGAAGGCCCACCTTTGTGGACTACCTTAGGGGCACCCCCACCCCAACCTCCCTCCCTACCTGGATTTTCCGGCTCCTATCCTCTTCATGCTCCAGTTCCAGCAAGTCATCGATGTTGACTTCATCTGGCATGTCGGCCTCCTACGGTGGGGGGTGGGGGTGGGGCGGTCAGGGTCCCTCTTGGCCTCCCGGTGGTTCTGCCCCAGGCTTTGGAGGAGTCCTGCCCCGGGTCCCCCCATCCTCCAACCCCAACCCAGCTGACCAGTTCTGGAGCCACAGTGTGGCAGCCGGGGACAGCACCACCATGGTGGGACATCTGGGGGTGGGGGAGGGGTGACAGATGGGCTAGAGGCGGCCCTGGGGGCCTGTACCAGCCTGGATGTCTGGGCCCCAGGGCCACAGGAGCCTGGTGGCTGGCACGGGCCTCCCCTTGGCCCCAGTTCCCACAGTGGGAAACAGGCCTGGTCCAGTCTTGGAATGTCATCTTCTGGGATTCGGGAGAGGGGCTGGCTCTGCCCTTTCAAGGAAAAGTCTAAGGGCTAGGTGCCGCTGGGAGGGAAAACAGGCAGGCTGGAGCCTGCTGGGGCGACACCCCCCCACCCCCCACCCAGGGACAGGCAGGGCTCTCTGGCTGGCCCTTGGGGCTATAGGCCACCCGGAGAACTGGCAGCCCTAGATATTGACCTCTGAGGATTCCAAGGTGGGGTGTTTGGCAGGAGTTTGGAGCCCAAATGTCAGGCCGCCAAGAGGGGGCGGGTCTCCCGGTAAATGACTTCTCAGGGCAGTGACCCAAACGTGGGCTGTCAGAGGACAGGGTCCAGCTGCCCGAGTGAGAGATCCCCTAGGTTCCAAAGCCTTAACATACTGCCTCCGCCCCTCCCCCAAAGTCCGCTGCTGACTCTCGGGCTCCAGGCTGCTGGCTGGTTTGGACACACATATGGTGTTGCTCAGTAGTTCAAAACCACCAGCCGCTTCCTGGGAGCAAGAGGCTGCCTACTCCCATAAAGAGTTACAGTTTTGGCAGCCCACACGGGCAGTTCTAGAAGGGTGTGTCTTGTGTGTCCCTACCCAGCTACGGCCGTCACACTTTTGCGCTGTACCAGGTGTGACTTCAAGTGGTAGATGGTGTACCCGGGGTCTGCCTGTGGCCTGCTAGTAGGTACAGGGAGCTGGGTGCATGCCTGCTGTGCATCCATCCCCTCGGGGAGTGATTGGACCTGCCTTTGCAAATTTGCCTGTGGAGAGGGCCAGCCGAAAAGAGGGAGCCCCTCGATGTGAGAGACTGGCCCAGGGGCTGACACAATGGGCTCAAACCCAGCAACGGTGGTGGTGGTGAGAATGGTGCAGGGCCCAGCAATGTTCCGTTTTGTGGGACGCAGGGTCGCTTTTGGTGGGAGCCGACTGGGCAGCAGCTGATAACCACAGCATGGGCCGACCTTCAGCTACTGGGGCTTTCTGGCTGTTGGGTTGGGCCTACAAGTGGCTGTGGCTTCCGTCATGGGGTCTGGGTGTGGCTACAGTCGGCGGCACTGGAAGGCTGGGGGTGGCTGGTTGTGGGTTGTGTCAGGTGGCGGCCAAGGTTGTTTCTGTCTGTGCACGCTCCCGTTTGTAGGGGGGTGTATCTGTCACTGGTCCAACCTTGACTCCTGGGGGGCTGTGTCTCATGGCCTGTGCTGGCGTGTCTGTGGGAGGTTGTAGCGGATGTTGCTCTGTGCCTCTGTGTGGATGCGGCGTCTGGAAGTCCGTTGCAGCCCCTGCCCTTGTGGCAGCTGTTTCTCGGCTGTGCCTCTCGGTGGGGGCTGTGTCGCCACTGTCACCATGTCTATGTTTGGCTTTAAGACGGCCCCCTCCCCCACCCTCTCTCCAGCTATGGCCGCTCAGGCTCCTCAATCTTGCCTTTTCAACCCCGTTGGCCTTTCAAGTGTCTGACCACATGTCTGTCCACCAAGAATGTCATGCAGTGTACACAGCCGGCCGACGAGTGATCTCTTGTGTGCATCAGGCTCCACGTGTGTCCAGACACCCCCCCACACCTCCCCCTCCCCACACTCACCAAGAGCGTGAGATCTCAGGTCAGGGGGGTCGGCCGGCCCAGAACCACCCCCCAGCTCCCCAGGGCTGCCGGCCCGCCTCACCCGGCCGCGATAGAGCTCCTCCAAGCGCCCGTCGATCCACTTCTCCACGTCCAGCCGCCGCTGCAGCTCCCGCCGGTCGTACTTGACGGTGACCCGGGCGTGCCGCTTCTGCAGCCCCCCAGGGCTGCCCCCCGGCCCTCGCGCCCGCG